TATATATATATATTGAAATTTGGTGCTATGCTACCTTTATAATTCATTGCTATACCGTTGGCAACCTTTCGGTAGACCCTGTGCTATATTTATTGTATAAAATGTATATAATTATAAAGTTCTCGGGGCCGCATATTTTAGAGGGGTGAAAAGGGCCCCTTTTGTAAGAAATATTTGATTTTGGAGTTCGTGTCACGTGCCACGTCGGATGCCTACATGGCATGCCGGGTCCAGATCAGCAGCCGACGGCGCGGTGGAGTGGACGGCTGTGATTTGCTGCTAGGAGGCGTAATTTTTGATGTGTGTGAACGGGGAGTGTGGATGGAATCTTTTTTTGTTGGGTCTTGGTGTGAACACGGCTTCGGCAGGAATTTTTGATGACGATCACGTGCTCTCGGCTCTGAGCACGTGCTCTCGTGGTGAAGTCCACAACTATAGTTTAATATAACATGTAGAAATTAAAAAAGTAATTTAAGTTCAACTAATAATTATTGAAATTGATTTATATATATAATATTTAATTTTTCATATTATTTTATAATTTAATTAGTGTAAATTAGCTCATACCACCCAAATCTTTTCTTATTACATTTATTATATCGGCGTTTTAATTTTTTTAAATGAAATACATATTTTCATGCATAATTGAAAATTAAAGTTTAGGCGGTAGATATGTAAATACATAAGAATTAAGCGGTATGCACGTAAATATTTTAACTCTTTTAATAATGTATTTTATGGTAGGTGAAAAAATTGAGGGTTAAGCCTATCCTTAATGTTTTTGCCTACCAACCAATACCATAATATGGATAAAGACCCTAGTTGCATAAATGCCCAAAATTGCATTCCAAGGAAGGATAAAAATAATACTATTATTATTATTATTGTTATTAAATGTTTAGTCATTATGTTATGTCATGCAATTAAATTTAGGGGCATTTACATAAAAAACACATAATTTTTATGTATTTACATATATGCACGTATAACACATTCACATATTTTCATATATAAGTTTAAAGCACCAAAATACTATAAATGCAAATATGAAAGTTTAGGTATTAGATATGTAAATATGTAAGGATTGTGTGTAAATTTTCATAAACAAGAATAAATGATATTAAAAATAATCGTAATCCATGAAAATTATTATGATAAAATAATATTAGGTAGTTGATTTATTGCATTTATTAGGCTTCAATCTCAATCATTCCACCACCAAACCAACCACATTTAAAATTTAATTTAAAAATGGATGAATGATTATACACTTTATAAACAATAAAAAAATTATGTATATATTTTTAGTAGTATTAATTGAATAAATAATTTGTATGGTTGCAATGGGATTGGAAATAGACCCGAAAAATGTTGCCTTGAAAATATAGTTGGTTGGACCAATACATTTGATTTTAAATTATATTAATATAATCGGTGGATGGGAAAAATGTATTTTATTAAGAGGAAATAAAATTAAAAGTAATAACATTTTATTTCCTGAGAATTAATTAAAAAAAAAGAATTCCATTGCCGGGATTTGAACCCGGGTCGCCTGGGTGAAAGCCAGATATCCTAACCGGACTAGACGACAATGGATTTGTGTCAGTTAATACCATTTATATGTTTATAAAATCAATTACTAAAACAGCACGAACCAAATTTATTTATCCAACTAATATTAGAATTTTACCGATCTAATTACGAGTCTAAGCTTCAACATCATCAATTAGAGTTGAATTTTAAAATGGATAAGATGAAATTAAAATTTACCCAATTTTTTATATTTATCAATGCCTCACTGCAATATATATATATATATATATATATACACTATGATATGAAAGATGTGCCGCATACTCCGGCTTCTTGGTTGGCATCCATGGTATATAAGACCTTTTAGGTCGGGGGTTCAAATCCTCTCTGGTATAATTGATCCCAAGAAGGTGATGACTCAAATTACTAGACACATTTGGGGTACATGCAAGCTCGTATGATAATCTGTGATCATTCTTTTTTAAATATGTATATAGAAATAGAAAGATATGAATCTATAAGATTCTTAATAGAGTTAAGAGCAAAGGGCGAAACAAAGTTATGGTCATGATAGACAATTCCTCCTAAATATACAATTTCTATGTAGAAATAATAAGATTTTGTTTAGGCAATTTAATTGTTTTAGCCTCCCTCTATATATATGTTTTATTTTTTTGGCCTAGCACATATAAATAATTAAAAAAATTGATGATTTTGCCCACCCTAAAAAGTAATATTAATTCATACAATACAAATTTAAATTCTGCTGCTGCATCTTTGCATAAATTTCAAAATAAATCACATAAGAATATGAATTTTATTTTATTTGTAATATAGTTGACGGTGAATCAAGTCAAAGCAAGTTGAACCATAATACTTGGAATGCATATCTTCTTAACATTAGATGTGAACTGTAAATGTACAGTTGTCACCTACCAACAGGCCGAGGCACCCATGTAGTTATGATGAAAATGGCTATACATATTATTCCAGATATATATATATATATATATATATAAAGTGAAAATAAACATAAATATGTTTTTTTTTTAATTATTTTTTTAAATTTATTTTCCAATTCCAACCCAGAACTAATTTTAAATTAAATCAAATAACCACACCTAAAACTGCCGACTTTTAAATGTTACTTTTACTGTACTGTTTGCCAAGTTGCAAACACCATCAGTATGGGGGAAAATATTTACATACATAAGACGTACGCAGAGTTGCGTACATCGGGAGGTTATTCAGAGTGTATAATAAGGTTATATTCGCGTTATACCCCCTTGTAACCTACAAATAAGTTCCGCGCTTCTTTAGTTTCGGTAGGTACAGGCAAGTTAGAGAGGGGTTATAGGAGGTATAACGCGAATATAACTCCCCCACACTCTCTGTATAACCTCCGACATACGCAGCACTGCGTACGTCTTATGTACACAAATATTTTCCCAGGGGCAATAACAGCTTATAATAATAATAATGTTGAGAAGTAAAAAAGTTAATATTAAAAATCTTTGCTAATAAAACGTTAGCAATTAAATGAGGATTAAAAATAAAATGGACGGCCGAGATTGATGATTACGATAACAACATTAATATTGAAATAAAATATCCAATTAAAAACTGGAAGGTTAGGAACAACAAACTCTGAAATGCATTTTCACATCTATAAAATTAAAAAAAAAAGCTACTTCTCAGTACTATAAATTTATGAAAACTGGCAGCAAAAGTATAATTAAATAAAAGTGTGGCAGAGATCTATAAAACTAAATTATGAAAAAGTTATAACCTATCCACCCTATATCACTTTCATACTGAACACAAGTGAAAAAAAAAAAAGAGATAGAAAATAATCATAAAATACAATAAACAACACTAATATCTGCAGATACAAAAAGCTCAAGAAGTGTGTGTGATTCAGATAAATTCTTCAAAAATTGTATCACATGCTCCAGAAAAAAAAGAGAAAAAAAGAAAAAAGAAATGATATAATGAATTTCAATTCACCCGAGTGAAGTGTTTTGCCTGTGAAAGCTTACTCGGTGGTCCGAACAGCAACTCCAGTTCTAAAGATGGGAAAAAGTTCAAGCTGCAATGCAATCATCTCCTAATGTGGCAGAAATGAGGAAAAATGTACAGGCTTGTGGTGGTTCTATGCAAGCTAAATAATTGCCTGCAGGATCAAAACAAAGGTTCTAGAGATGGAGAAATTAATTTAGAAAATTGTGAACTAAATGTATTTATTCACCCATAAGCTGCTCTGGTGAACTTAATCCAAAAGCTGAAAATTTGAACCTCTATGGTTAGAAGTAACTCCGCAGGTACTAATTAGCAAGAAGCTGGTTCAGTCATGAGTATTTAGAGGTTCGAGGTTCCAAAATATTCAAAAGAAGGTACAGAAAGGGCCTTTTGTTTCAATCTGCAGGTGAACCATGAAAGAGGACTTCATGCCATTTATTTAGACAAAACAAACATCTTCATAATTGTTTAGCATTATAAAAGTTTAGCACATCCAAAGTACTGAAATTTGAGATAATACTCTTGGTACAAAGAAGGAAAATTGAGGTTTTTCAAGTCATACTTGGCATAAACTCTTTATCGGTGCCATATATTTGGAAGAACTACAGTTAACTGAGATTGGATGATGATGATGATCCTTTCATACTCCCAAGTAAAATTCAAGAAAAAGGTTCAGCGAGTAGAGGTCTTCGATTTCTCCACCAGTACAATCCTACCATTCCACTCAGTCTGGTCCACAGCACGTATTGCAGCATCAGCATCTTCATCCCTTTCCAAGGATAAAAATCCAAAGCCACGTGAATCGCCAGTTCTGGAAATAGTTTTAAAAAAAAGAACACCACACGAGGCATCAATATTTTGTTGCAAGGCGAGATATTTGAGCCATTAAGTAGTAGTGAACGAAAATTCTTAGCACAGAATTAGCAGCTAATTCTAAAAGACAGATAAAATAGCATTTTGAAACTTAACACAGCAGTATTCAGAAAAAATTAGAAATCATTCAAGGTACTTGAACTTTAATAGACAGAATATGTGATCATAGGATTCGTGTCTTAAAAACGGCAAGTACAATATGATCAAAATTGTTCTTTTTTTGCTTGAAAGCACAAAGCAAATGAACGTTTTTTGACTTGCATATCATACATGTATATATTAAATACATACAAAAGTCAGCTAATTAGCCAGACATAAATCACATTAAGGTAGAGTTTTCAATAAATATAATCATACATTCAATAAAAATAATTTTAGTCATCCAAAAGAGAGAAGAAGTTATTAAATTATGAAAAGATGCTTAAAATCAAGAATCTCGCAACATTCAGTAACCAATTAAAGATTGAAAGCTGTAAGCACCATGAAAGGAGAGAATGCGAAGAGGAGTGACCAAGAACATTCTAGAGAAGAAATTTGTAAATGATAAATTCCAAGCATCAACGACAAGAACCAATAAAAAAATTATAAGCAAACTAACATGAAAAAGAGAATGAAGAGAAGAATCATCAAGAAGTAACTTGCTCCAGTGGGAAAGAACATAGAACTAATGAGCAATGACTTGATAACTACAAGAAATAATGAGAATTAAATTCTACAAGAAATGAGACGTGAATTTTGTGCGTAGTTAGTGCGACATATACTAAATTGAACCATGAAAATGAACTGGATTTGGTTTTTAGCTGAAACCATGCACACAACACTATCAAACAACACTTTGCTACAAAAAAAACACTTTGAAGCGGCGCAACACAAGCACTTTGCCCTATGCTTGCATCCTCATAAGCAAGTGATGCAAAAGGCCAGCACATCACTTTGTTTCTCTCCTAAAGCATGCATTCAAAAGTGCTTTTAATAAAACCAGGAATTACTCTTTAAATTCATTGATCCAAGAGGCGTTCATAAAATTAAACAGCAAAATAAATATCTTACATATTTAAACAAAACAATATGAGGCAATGGAGTGTAAATAAGTAATGATAAGGAACTAAAATGCAAATTATCAATTTAAATTCCCAAAACGAAGGGGGTGGCCAAGCATAAGATATTCGAGTATAAATTCAAGAAAATTTTCTAACCTCAAAAAAAAAAAAAAAAAAAGAAAAAAAAATCAAAATAAGAAAATCCAGCCAAGCCCAGTAAAGGAATGGAGAGTGCTCTAAATGATGGAATAAAATAAAATGAAGTTAGTTTTTCAAAGTTAAAAATGTAGATTTAATCTTCCAAAATTCACTCGCCAAAATCTTCCTCCCCCAGCTGCCATGTTGAAAATAAAGTATTTTAGAAACATTTAAATTAATTGAAGCAAACTTTTATACATGTTGAAAATAAAGAAGTTGAGGAGGCTTTAAAGAAAACCAAGGGTGGAAAGTCTATAAGATCTGATGATATCCCAATTGAAGTGTGGAAATATTTGGGAGATTTGGGAGTTTCTTGGCTTACTAAACTCTTTAATATTATTTTAAAAACTAAAAAGATGT